ATATGGTGGAAGGGGGCACCGCACACGGCTAAGGAACGATCCGTAGATCAACTTGTGTCTATGGGGTGCCCCCCGCCATCGTATATAAAGGAGCCAGGGGGGAGGAGGCCGCCGGCCTAAGGGGGCGCGCCAAGGGGGGAGTCCTACTCCCACCGGGAGTAGGACTCCCCTTTTCCAAGTTGGAGTAGGAGAGAGAGGGAAAGAGGAGGAAGAGGAGAAGGAAAAGGGGGGGGGGCGCCGCCCCCCTTCCCTTGTCCTATTCGGACTAGGAGGGGGAGGGGCGCGCGGCCCCCTCCTTGCTCCTTCCTCTTCTTCCTCTTGGCCCATGTAGGCCCATTAACCCCCCGGGGGGTTCCGGTAACCTCCCAGTACTCCGGTAAAATGCCGATTTCACCTGGAACCATTCCGATGTCCAAACATAGGCTTCCAATATATCAATCTTTATGTCTCGACCATTCCGAGACTCCTCGTCATGTCCGTGATCACATCCGGGACTCCGAACAAACTTCGGTACATCAAAACTTATAAACTCATAATAAAACTGTCATCGAAACGTTAAGCGTGCGGACCCTACGGGTTCGAGAACTATGTAGACATGACCTAAAACCATTCTCGGTCAATAACCAATAGCGGGACCTGGATGCCCATATTGGTTCCTACATATTCTACGAAGATCTTTATCGGTCAAACCGCATAACAACATACTTTGTTCCCTTTGTCATCGGTATGTTACTTGCCCGAGATTTGATCGTCGGTATCCAATACCTAGTTCAATCTCGTTACCAGCAAGTCTCTTTACTCGTTCCGTAATACGTCATCTCATAACTAACTCATTAGTTACATGCTTGCAAGGCTTAGGTGATGAGTATTACCGAGAGGGCCCAGAGATACCTCCCCGACAATCGGAGTGACAAATCCTAATCTCGAATTATGCCAACCCAACATGTACCTTCGGAAACACCTGTAGAGCACCTTTATAATCACCCATTTACGTTGTGACGTTTGGTAGCACACAAAGTGTTCTTCTGGTAAACGGGAGTTGCACAATTCTCATAGTTGTAGGAACTTTGTATAAGTCATGAAGAAAGCAATAGCAGTACACTAAACGATCAAGTGCTAGGCTAACAGAATGGGTCATGTCAATCACATCATTCTCCTAATGATGTGATCCCATTAATCAAATGACAACACATGTCTATGGTCAGGAAACATAACCATCTTTGATTAATGAGCTAGTCAAGTAGAGGCATACTAGTGACTATGTGTTTGTCTATGTATTCACACATGTATCATGTTTCCGGTTAATACAATTCTAGCATGAATAATAAACATTTATCATGATATGAGGAAATAAATAATAACTTTATTATTGCCTCTAGGGCATATTTCCTTCAGCCCCCACTCGTCGAAGCTAGGCATCTGCTTCACGAAATCGGCCCTGCCCGAACAAATATACAGGAGGGCACCATCATGTCGAAGGCTGCCTGGGGAAGGATCGCCAGTCAGGACCTTGAGCACCGTCCTTAGAGCTTCAGGTGCCAGGTCCTCCTCCTGGAGCCGCATGCGGTCTTTGTGCCCCGCAAAGTCCTACATCCGGCGAGAGTAGCGCTGGAGAGGAGGAATGCAGCACTAGAGGAACTCCTTCACCACCTTGGGCGCCGTCACGTTGAGCGCCCTCAAGGTCTCGAAACAACGCCAGACGAAGACGAGCCGGGGGCTCACGAGCGCCTCATGACCCCAGCCTGAGCTGGGAACAGCAGGCGCGGTTGGGTGCGAGAGCAGGGGGCTGGGTACCCCAACGTCCACATACAACCACCGCTCTCTGAACTTGGCCTCAGAGGGAGGAAGGCCGAAGTCGATCCCTGAAGCAGCCGTCTCTTGCACGGCAAGGAAGCTCACACACCCCGAGCATTGAGTGGGGTCGCTCAGGCGCAAAGAGAAGAAGTGGCGCAGCAGGGCAACGGAAGGAGGAATGCCCACCATTGCCTCGCAAACAAAAGCAAAGACAGCCAGGAGGGTAATGGACTCAGGCCCGAGGTGCATCACGTGGATCTGATAATGGGAGAGCACCGCATTGAAAAAAGCAGAGAAAGGGGGGACCAGACCCGCCCACAAGGCGTCGGCGAAGAACCGAACCTCTGTGACGACCCTATCAATAGAAGCATGGGACGCATGCCAGACCGTGGTCCAGCCGCACTCGTTGAAGATGGTGGCAAGAGCAGAACGGACCTTGCGCAAGGCCTCGGGATTGAGTATGATTGACCGATCAACGACGGGGGCCACCGCCGGAGGCGAGCGGGACGAAGGCGCGGGCTTCTTCCCCTTTTCCTTCTTCGTTGGTGCCATGGTGGTTGAAAGAGGGGAGAGCTCGAGTTTGATTGGAGGCGGAGGTTGAAGCTCGAGGAAGGAGGAAGGGCAGGAAGCGCGCGACGCGGCGAAAGGGGAATAGCTGTGTGCAACCACGGGTCTGCCTAGCCGGGCGCATAATGAGGCATCATGGGGAAGCGGAGGCACCCACGTTTAATCAACCGCCACGCGGCGCCCAAGGCCGCATGCTGTTGGGGCCCGCGGCGCTTCGCACTTGCCCCTTCGCTTCTCTGCTAAGCCAAGTCCGGGCGCGCCTTGGGCCCGGGGGTTACTGTTGGCGTTCTGGGAATGGGGGTCCCTAGACTTGCCTGCCTGCGGCCTGCGGCGTGGCTCAAGTGGGGGCCCAATGCAGCCCAGCTTCATCAGCTCCAGCTCAAGACCCTCGCGAGGGGCCAAGCCTCGCGGGGCGGACGACATGAAGCTTCCTCAGGAGCAGCCTCCCCAGGCAGGCTCGCGAGGAGGCGGAGAGATCAAGGCAGAGTACCTCCCGAGGAACCCGTGACGCAAGCCATGACGATCGAGACCAGGCGGGCGCCGGCCTGCGCAGTGTCCTTGTTTTCCTTACGGTGCAAAGGGGGCAAGCACAGACCAAGGCATCAGGCAAAGGTTACCGCTTCGGTGCAACAAGACCAAGACCAACAGAACGGCAGGATGGAGGTCATCGTGGAGCCCAGGACGGCGTCATCGTCAGAACCTTTGGCAGCCGAAGACCAACTTTAGTCAGGATAAGTGTACTAGATGTTCCCCTTCAAAATGGCCAATTGTTGGCGCCCTTCCCGCTCATTATTTGGGAAGAGGCCCAGGGCCTCCCCCTATAAGTAGGACTAGCCACCACAGGGTAGAGGCATCTAGAAACAGATTGGTCAGAGAGAGAGAAGCGGCTGAACTCACCCAAGCAGTTCATCGCACCAACTCAAGAACAACCCCTCGCAAGGCTGTTCTCTCTTTGTACTGTTCATCATCAGCCCCTGAGGCAATCCACCACACCACACACTGAAGTAGGGTATTACACCACAATGGTGGCTTGAACCAGTATAAATCTCGTGTCCCTTGTGTGTTCATCTTTCTTGCTTAAATCCTTGCGAGACTTCGAGATGTGAGCTGGTAGGGAAGAGATCTTCGTGCGCACCCCAGTGTTCGAATCTCAAGGGGTTGCCGGAACCCGAAATCCGACAAAGTGATTGGGCTGCTGCATATCGCCTTAGACGTGACTACCATGCACCCACGATTTTCGTCGTCACCGAAGAAGAAGAGCACGGTCCACATCTTGACACTAAAGAAACCCCTAATCTTAGGCATTAACGAGTCGTGATAGCCGCCAATCCATGAAGACTGGATCTTATTTGGTAAGAAACACCGACCGGAGGATCTTCAACGTCAGATCCAGGTCGATGTCGTTTTTACCAAAAAGGACGGAAGGGACCGTCTAAGCAAGAAAGTTGATTTCCCTCTTTCTATCCTAACCGTTTGATCGAAATCCAACACCTCACATAGTGCCTTTAACTTCCAACTGTTTCACACATGATCTAGTCATCTTCTTCCTTCAACTGCAGCCCCACCATTTGTGCCGTTGGCCTAAGTGCTTGTCTTCGCCACCCACGATCGGTGTCGCTATCACATGGGCCTCCACTCCCCGCCCATTCATCCCTCGCAACCTCCTTGTGCACCAGATTTTCACCCCTTATACAAACCAGTCAGCCTTCGGACTCTCGTCCATATGCGTTGCGACTATCGCGGTGTCGCCGTTTCCAATTTCTTCTGTACGAGGCCCCGCCGCCGTCTTCAACCATGGAAATCAACGGACGCAAACAAAAAAAATCAAATAACCTTTGTTAGGCTAAAAGGTATATTCGGACCAGTAGGATTACCAAAACCAAAAAAGGAAGAAGACGTTGTTGGTCTCGTTCAAAGTCATAGGAAACTGTTGTGCTTTCAAAAAGAGCCATGGCTATGTGTTCCCGTACCGATTCCTAATAGGAATCTCCAATGGGCGATGACTAGCAGGTTGGCCCGTTAGCGTAGTTTGCTCGCTATGTGCTGTAGGTTCACTCTGCTTCGGTTTTATTCAGGGTTTTTTAGTTTCTTTTTATATTTTTTCCTCGGATTTTTTTTCTTCATTTTACTTTGGGTTTATTTTTTTCCCTTTGTTTTCCTTTGGTTTTATTTGTTTTTTTGCTTTCATTTTCGTTTCTTTGGCATTTTGGTCGTTTTTTCTTTTTTCAACACATATCTACTTTTTTCAGTACACAAAGTACATTTTTTAAAACACGTGAAACTTTTATCTGATATACGTGGACATTTTTCAAATACACATTGTACGGACATTTATTTTCATTGAATAATTTTTTTCAAAAGTTTATGGACATTTTTTGGAAACCCGTGAATATTTATTAATGTGTATTTAATTTAAAATATTCTCGGTAAATAAAGTAAAAAGGAGGGAAAATTGATATGACGTCAGCATGACGAGCCACGTCGTACTGGGCCGGCCTACTACCGGTGTGCCCTCGAAGTCTATACAGAAAGGCCCCCTAAAAGCCCAACAAGACGCCCACTCCCCTCCCTCCCGCAAACCTCAAACCCCACGACCGCTCCGGCCGCTCCGACAGCAGCGAAGCGCAACCTCGTCGGCGATGACTCGCATCACCGCGCCGGAGCTGTCGCCCTCGCCCCCGGACTCCCCGCCTCCCGCCCGCCGTTCCCCGGCCCTGGCGACCCCGCCCTCCCGCCGCCGCCCCTCCCCGTCCCCGTCCCTCGCGCTCACCCCCTCCTCCGCCTCCACCTCCGCCACCTCCTCGAGGCCCAGGCCCCGACCCTCGCCCAAGAGGACATACTCGCCGGCGCAGTGGGTCCCCGTCTCCTCCCACCCCGTCTTCGCGCTCCGCGGCGCCGTGGGCGGCGGCGGTGCCGCGTGGGATGCCGCCGGGTCGAGGCTCTACGTTTGGGACCCTTCGGCGCGCGGCGCCCACCGGGTGTCCGTGCGGATCCGCGAGGCCGAGGCGGAGAGGGACGGGGAGGAGGTCGCCGTGGAGGCCGCCGTTCCTTCCGAGGTGAAGTGATTTTCTCCCCCTGGTTGCTTTTTCGTAGTATAAAGTCACTGTGAAATGGTAGGGATAGCCGGATAGGCATCGGTTCTCCCCGTCTCCTAGTCACTAGGTCAGAGCCATACGTTTGAGAATCTATATTGCTGACTGGGGCAATTTGCAATTCACTAGTACTTCTGTGTGTGAACAAAAATGGGGAGAAGCTTCTCTGTGTGATGTTGTGCAACTGGACATAGTGTGGAGCATTTGGATTTCTTAGTGTCAGATCCTATGTTAATTTAGGCAGTATTGTTTGCTACCCTAAGCACAATCTTTCCGAGAGGTTTATACTGTGATGCAGGAAATATAGTGCGGCATATTATCTAACTTTTACAAATGGGAAGTCGATATTATGATGTGCGATGGGCACATGGTGGGAAAGAAGATGGGTCTACCTTCCCCTATATTTGTATGGAGATTGGGTTTTAAACGGTTCCACATATTAAAGTTCCTCTGAGATCATTTTTTATGTAGTACTCCCTCCGTCCCATAATATAAGAACGTTTTTGGCACTAGTAGTGTAGTGTCAAAAACGTTCTTATATTATGGGACGGAGGGAGTAGCATGTAATAATATAACTATGTAAAATAAGTTTTTGGCATCACATGGTATACTATATGAGCTACCATGTTTCTAGGCATGAAAATGCACCACCTAAGTTGTGCATTTTCACGTTTTGGAGATCTGACGAGAACATACATGGGAGAGGCTGAGGCATAGTTGTACATTTTTTATTTGGATGTGGACTAAGGCTTCAAAAGAAAGTTATTGATTCCCTCCTCATATTGGGGAAATTTCAAAGTTTTAAACATCCGGCTAGCCCCGCTATAGCCTTTGAGCTCTCCTGCTAAACCTATACAATTTTAATACTTACTTACGAAGCCTTTTATCCCAAACAAGTTGGGGTAGGCTAGATATGGAACCCTTTCACGAGGACTTTCCGACGCTAATAGCGCGCTATTTCCTGCTAGCGCTAAATTTGGAGTCATTTAGCCCGCTAAGGCGCTATATGAAACCATCCCGCTGCATTATTCTATTGTTCGTGTTTCTGATATATATGGTGCATAGTGTGAAGCTTGGTTATTGAATTAAGATACCTGATTGGAGCTCTGGTTTTGTTGTGCGAACATGTGTTTATGTCAAGTATATGCGATATATCACATATGAAGCCTGATTTTATACCTATTTTTTTCAAAAAAAAATCATAATTTAAGAAAAACGCTAAATGGGGCTTAGCTTCGCTATAGCTTTTAATAGCTTCTGGCTGAGCCGCCGCTAAGTGGCATAGCCCACTATTTAATACATTGGGAAATTTACATTCCTGACATAGTGATATGATAGCTTTTTTGGAATGGGTGTATTCCTATGCCAAAAATAAGGCCTATTTTACATTTCTACCTAACTGGTTTTGTTTGCAGCATTATTTGCTTCCTTTGATCTCACTTTTTGTCATGAAATGCCGTCATAGTTGAATTGAGAAAACTTTTATGCTTGTACTCATTGCTTGTGAGATGGTAATCTTTTATAAGTTTCCACAGTAGGTATTCTTTCTTTACCATGATGATTGTTCTGTACTATCTTGCATTGACATAATCGATGCCGCTCCTGTGTTGTCCAGATGTTGATGCCGGAGATGGATCTTGGTTACGAGGTCACTCATATATCACTTAATACGGATGTGTCATCATTACTCCTAGCTGGATCACATAACATAAATGTTCTGCATGTACATGAGAGGGTGTCAGAAGATGGTGATACAATCATATGCAGGTATATATCTTCATCACAACATATCTCATGTTGATAATGCACTTTTGCTCCTTTATTTCCTGAATGTTCTGAGATTATTCTAGTTATGAATATTTTTCTTGCAATAAAAAATTGAAACCAGTGGAAGAATATTCTTATTTCTCCTGCATGTCATTAGTCCTGTACATCAAGAGCAATCTTCTGCTCTTCTCATTAGTCATGCACATCAAGAGCAATCTTCTACTCCTCATTGGGGTATTAAAGAAGGCGTTTACAGAGTTTTCATTCACTCTGCAGTTTAGATTAATGGGATGTATAGCTATCTTTTCTTCTTCTTTTGATGCCATTGACCCATTGTTCATAACTTTATTATACTATAATGTTACCTTCCCCTGCATTTGACTACAGGACCGCACCAGTTGCTTCTCAGATTTTACCTACCAATAATGATGGCATAAAAGTTCTGCAGACATCTTGGCACCCTTTTAGCAGCAGCCATTTTGGTGTTTTGACATCAGATGCTGTTTTCAGGTATGCTAAAATGGATTTTGGTGCAACATGGAGGGGCTAATTTAAGCTTATTTAACATGCAATTTGTTGGAGTTTATGTAAATGGGAATGTAGTTTCCTCTGTCCATTCCCATATCAAGTACCCTTTTTTCTGTGTGTCATCATGTATATTTATTTATTTCTAACTTCATCTCTTCTTAAAAAACTGATACAATATTCTTAGATCAATATAATGGAACCACTATATTAAATTTTCTGTAAGATAAAATAATCAAGAACCATCTATGCAGGTTATTTGATCTCTCATTTGATTTAGAGCAACCAGAGCAGGAATTTTATTTGCAGCCAATTCTACCTGGAAGATGCCAGAATGCTTCGTCAATTTGTCCAGTGGCATTCTCTTATGGCAGTGATCATCTGTGGGATAGATTTTCGGTATGTCTCTTGGTTGCAGTTGCCTAGATAATAGAAGCCCTCTCAAAATAAACTTGCCCAGAATAGTTTACAAATTTATCAGGATCATTATTTTAATATAGCAAGCAAGATAGTATCACACTTAGGGTAACTTCAAACAGCTCTAGAGCAATTTGGCGGTGAATTTTGCATATGGGAATCTATCGTTTTGCTAGTTTAAGGCTTTAAGCTTATTACATGGTACAAATATTTATGGTATCAATTGATATTACTACACTATCTATACAGCATCTTTGTCCAATGAATTTGGGAATGCCATGCTTATTTACTGTTTCTGTATGACTGTATCAATGCTATTTTTTTGTGTGTGAAGTCTACACTGTGCTGTTCATAACAGAATTACAGGAAGTTACTTGATGCCTCATGCATTTCAATTTTTCTTTCAAGTTGTCATTTGATATGTTGTTTGGACATACATGTGTAGTCTCTTCAAATTTACCTTGATTAGGATTAATGTTTTGTATGTTGAGTAGTCAATTCCTATGCTTTGTTTCACATGTAAGCCTATTTATGCAGGTTTTCATCTTGTTCAGTGATGGTTCAATTTTTGTGCTCTGCCCCGTTGTTCCATTTGGATGGTAATATTGCACTTCTATGTTCTATCTGCCCCCTTCTTTCAGCGCTTATCATTTTTATATTGCCTAACATTTTATTTTGACATGTTGCCTAAAACTGTGAGAACTACTTAATTTCATGCTGTAGGTTGTACTTTATCTACATTGATTTGGCAATTATTTTCTATTATGCAGTGACTATAGTAAGAAACATATTGAAGAGATATATGAAGATGTTAATACATTTGGGTTGAAATCTTCAAATCCAAATGTTGTCACGAACTCACATTTGGCCATTGCATGGTTGGAGGCAACATTTCCGGAGCTGTTACGTCAATCAGCAGATAGCAGCACACTGATGTCAAGAGCTCGTGCATATGCCCCAGTGGACGATTCTCTAACTCTACAGGTACACTTCTATTGACTTCCTGAAATATATCTGAGAATGACCGAGCAAGTGTAGCTCTATGTGTTTAACTGGAGAATTCAGCTTGTGGTGTTCGAGTGGGGCTGATGCTTTTATTATCTTGGGATGGCTAGACGTATGAAATTTTCTCATGCATTATTGCATTCGGTTTTAGCATGTGAATATCAAGTAAACACCTTTAGAAGGGAAAAAGTAAGCACCTTTAGAAGGAACAAAGTAAATTACTTTTGGTCAGAAATATTTTGAGGTGAGATTTAACCGTGGATACAAGTAGCACATCGCCTCTATTCCTTGCTGTATACTCTATAAAGTTAGGATGCTGTAACACAACCATGATGAAGAGGAAGGGAAAAGGCATGCCTCTTAAACTAGTAATTTGTTCATTTAAGTGCTCATAGTCAATCCGATGCTTTTCTAGTACATAAGATTGTTGATTTGTAAGAGTAGGAGCCATTTGGCTCGTGACCAAACATTTGCCACAAATTGCACAGTCATGTCTGCCACACTCACGTGTACACGTGACACTTCCTCTGCAGGCGCAGTTTTACTACTGTAATTGTGTCAGCAATTTTTTTTTTTTTTTGAGAAAGGTGTCAACAAATATTGTACCCACAGTTTTGGTCATGGACGGACAATTGGTTAAATGTTCTGATAGTCAGCACACTTTTGGAGGAAGAAAATAGTAAATACTATGTTGAACATTGATTTTACTGTTTTAAATTCTCTTTGGAAATCACTGTTGTGGTTATATTTGGCTGACTTACTATAGCTATAAAATTTTCTATTTGTAAATCTACCGCTCATTTTGAATTCTGAAGTTCCTTGGAAACAAGACCAACCTGTAGTCTAAATTAAATGTTAAAGTTTATGAAACATGTTATACAGAAAATCAACAAAATACCAACTATTCCTGAACTGCTTTGATAACCGAGAAATATCATCATTTCTTGTCATGAGAAATTGAGAATTTGGTTATCCAAATTCTGACTGCTATTTTCTATGTGACCTTCATTCTACTCCCTCCGTTCGGAATTACTTGTCACAAAAATGGATAAAAATGAATGTATCTACAACTAAAATACATCCGGATACATGCATTTCTTGGACGAGTAATTCCGAACAGAGGGAGTATGTTTTTATCATGAATCAATGTGTATTAAGATTGAGCACCCATGCAGGGGCCTCTTTGTAGAGTTTGCGAGGAAAACAATGAACTCGAAGGCAAGAGCAGCTCTTGTGAAGGTAAAGCTGTGGGTTTTGTGTACAGCTCTGTTGGCAAAGATTCAGTTCTTGTAACTGCCTGGGGTAGTGGACAGCTCCAGATTGATGCTTTAGCCGATGAAATCCAACCACAATGGAGCATTGGGGTTCCTACTCGCCTTGATGTCGATTCACATGGACGCATAAAGAGCGTTGCTATGATATGTGACTCTAATCCACAAGATTCGTCGGCCCTGAGATCACATCGTTCATCCAGTATGGGATCAAATGTGAAGAGCAATACAGAAGCTGTCTGGATGGGACACTCTCCTCCTTTGCTAAGGCTCTCAATTGTGGATTTGGCACTACCAAAAACTTCTAACGGTAGCTCTTTATCGTTATTTCTGGACCCCCTTGTTCCGGAGAGATTTTATTGTGCACATGGCGGGGGACTTGACATGGTCACGTTGCACTTCCTGCCATTTTCATACCCCGAAATGGCTTCCACACCACCCTCTGTGCATCCTGTACTCACCACAGGCAACAGCGATACAAGTTCTCCCTTCCTTTCTGGATTTGTCGCCATAGCGGATGCGTATGGCCATGTGCAGTTAGTTGGCATCACATATACTGGTGAGTGCTTTGTGGTGGAGATGAAGGGTTGGAAGGAACCAACACCTCTTCAGCTTGACATATGTAGCAAGGACATCAAGGATGTGGAATCTTCGACAACTGGAATGATCAGCAAAGAGCTTCTTGCTGGTCCAGATCCACCCATACTTCCATCTTCAACAAGCCTGAGGTCGTTGACTCCTGACTCCATCGAAGGGAAGTCCACACTTCATCACTATATTAAGGTTTTCCATGAGCACTATGTGGAGTATGGGCACAAGGTAAGAGCTATCATTATGGTATTTTGTGCATATCCCTTATCAACTTAGAGTATGTCATATGCCATTGTTGGTGCACAAGTAAAAGTCGTTCCATTCTGGAGATAACTGAACCTGTTACATCTTTCAATCCCCACAATATAAGCATATCACTAACGAGTGTGGGTTCATTTGAATGATGTTCAGGTTTTCATCGAGCTCAAGGAACACGAAGATTATGTGAAGACAGAGATTGAAGACAAGCAGAAACGCTTACAAGCAGTGAAGCAGTCACTTCTATCCATAGAAGCCAAAGACGAGGAGATAAACAGGCGGGTCGATCGGGCCTCCAAGGTGTATGATCTGCTGGAGAAGCGCATAGAAAGCTTCAAGATGCTGCCTGCCGCAAACAAGAAACCATTGTCACAGGCAGAGCTGGAGTTCAAGTCGCAGCTTGGTCCGTAATCGAGAAACCTGACTTTGCATATTCTCCCTTTACAGCCTCATCATGCCCTAACATACTCCTCTGCTAAAACTTGCAGATAGGTTTGCAGACGTGGAGCTGGACGCACTGCGTACTTCCATTGCTGCCCTGAGCGCGAGGATGAAACGGTTCGCTCAACCGTCCCTGGGCAGTGGCGCAGCCGGCGCAGGAATGGCGCCATGGCAGGCGCCGAAGGCCGGAAGAGGCCACGTTTCGGAGTCCCAGATGTCGCTGATGAAGTCTTCACTGGAGAGGCTGTCGCTCCTCAACGAGGAGAACAATCAGAAGCTACGGGTCATCGAGACTGAACTCAAGAACAAGGAACAGCAGTAGTTACTGTAGTCGGTGATACTTGGTTTTGAATCGCACCCATGTTCTCGGCACGAGAAAGGGAATTGGTGGCAGATGTTGGCTCAAAAACTATGGAGGGCTCGTTCCTTCCGGATCGTGTCGTGCCCGTAGGTTGTTGGGAGTGTGAATTATGTCCCATGCCGCGAAGATTGTTGAGAAAGTAGCCGACGCTACGTTTGTAGTATCAGTTATTTTTTGGTACAACTACTTAAGAGGTTTGTTACTAGCTCCTGTTATGACGTCCGAGTTCTATGTAGCCTTTCTCTCGACCACACAACACAGATGGTCGTGTATTTTTAGATTAGAAGATGTGAAGCATGACGGTACGTTTTTTTTTTTTGTTAGCGTGGTATATGTTTGGTTCTTTCTGCTGCCTTATTTGGTTCGTTATTGACGTATCCATGCGGCTATTTCCGGCCTCGCTGCTCGCTTGACGCTGATATACAAATAAATAACCATAAACATTTTTTTTGCGGGGATTATCCATAAACATGTATTTCCTTGAGCCACTTATTTTGGGACGGAGGAAGTACATGGACAATCTAGCTTGGTTGTTAGAGAATTTTTTGGGTGGTGTATATATGTGAGACGAGATATGCATATGCACGCCAGAGATATCTGTAGATCCAAACTCGAAATTCACATCTGGATATTTCTTTTCTATTTCTACATGTGTATCTCAAATTTCAATTTGAATTTTTAGACCAACAAACATGTGTAATTTTATGCAGACTGTATGGTTCCTATTGCTCATACTAAATTTATCAATCGGTTGATTAATAGACAGGGTACTGTAGTTCTGGCAAATATCCAAAAGTCGTCGTTTAGCCATTCTCTTTCTAGCACTCCCCGCGGTTTTGAATTAAAATTGCAACAAATTATCTTTGTATGCAAATAAAAATGAAAATCAAATCGTCTTCCTTGATGCAAACATGGCTGAGCACATATCCTGTAACTCCCGTTCAGAGTCTGAGTTCTCTACTCATGATGATTCTACACAGTTTCCAACAAACAACAAATTCCCTCGCACTCTTGAAAAAGGAATAAGCAACAGCGTATAGCTAGTGGGTGAGTACAGACAACGCTCCATCCTATCACAGGAGCCTAGGCCGAGTACTCGAAAGGTTGGGGCGGCTGTGGCTCGTCGTCGACGGCCATGGCGGCCGAGCCTTGCCCCGCGGCAGCGGCTGCTGCGTTGTTGCCGGTGCCCGTGGCCACGGTCGCGGGGGCGTCGGTGAGCACGAGCTCCTCCGCTTCGCTGGGCTGCGTGTCTCGGAGGAGGATGAACCCACAGGGGGCGGGCCTCACGGGGACGTATCGGCTGCCCTCGATGAACTTGATGAACTTCTCCTGGGCGGGTACGACGCGGGCTGGGTTCGCCAGGATCTGGAAGGCAGGTTCTGGCTCCGGGGCCTTCTTCTCTGCCGCGCCGTCAACCTGGGAACAAAGATTGAGAGAGACGGGTAAATTCGTAAGAGGCCAGAGAGTTCAATCAAATGGACTGAGATGATGCCAAAAAGGAAAAATAGTAACTTGAGCTGGATATGAATCACAAGTTCACTACTGAATATCAGAGGACTCCAAAAAAGAAACTTCAGCTAGATATGATCAGAAGTTCACTACCGAACACAAGGTACAGCAGAGGGCTCTATCAGCAGGCTTATGTTAAATCAAAAACAGTTGTGATATGCTTAGCTGTGCTGTGACATCTTAGTAATTTATTATGGGGAGCTATTCAAGCAAGCAGGTACAGTAACTAGCATGGTTGTAAAGCAAGAGAAGTAACTAGCATGACTTAATTATGAGCTGGTAAAATTCTTGGATGTGAACACATGATGGAAAAAAGTGAAGCGAATCATATACAGTTAAGTCTTATTCTTACCTGCATTGCATCACCGTCCTTCTCCTGTGTCTTAGCTGCCTCGCCTGAAGTAGAACCAGAAGCATCTTCCGTTGTCTTAGCTTTGCTTTCTGCGTCCGTTGATTTCTCCTGGCTAGGTTTGCTTTCTGCTGTTGACTTCTCCTGGTTAGCTTTGCTTTCTGCTTCTGCTGTCTTCTCCTGGTTAGCAGCTTTGCTTTCTGCATCCTTCTTCGCCCTAGATTTTGCCTTGGCATAGGTTGACAAAATGGCTGTGGGCAGCTTGACTGCTGAAGTCGTAGTCTGCTGAGTGGTCGGCTTCGGATACTCAAAGAGGGACGGTTTAGCATGTGACAGGAATTCGAACTTAGGCACTTCCAGGTTCGAGTTGAGACCAATGATGGCTGTTGGCGAGAAGGCCAAGCTGATAAAGTATAGGAGTGGGTACCAGTACCAGAACTGGGTGAAAACAGCGAGGCCAATCACAGCAGTGAGCTTGTCATGCTTGTTCCTCGAGAGAAGTTTGATTGTGACATTCCTACCACCAGCATCCAGAATACCAGAAGCAAGTATGGCACCCATTTTGCTCATGGTGTCCTCATGCTTGTCAAGGATGATCTTCTCCAACTGACGCCTGAATGTTCCAACACGAGAATCAAAGGATTCATTCGTCTGGATCATGACCATTGCCATGGCAATTAGAGCCCCCTGGCGTACAAAGTCAACAACGTCCGACGTGAGAGGCTCCAACAAGGAAATGGCATCACTTAACCCTGTTCCTGCACAGGATATCCCAACAGCTAAAGCTGCACCATAACGAACATGCGGGTTGTATGATTCAGAGAGCAGGGACACAATTCTTGGAGTCTGCATGATCAGAACGGAAGATGTAAGTCGTAGATCAAAGCTATTAAGAAGATGTAAGGTGTGGATCAAAGCTATCGGTGATTGTTTATTTTAGCAAAAACATTCTATTAGATGGCAAAGAGATGTAAGCATAAATGCATAATGAACAGATCTATGTTGTTTCTTGGAATAAATTTGAATATAGGGCATCTATTTAAACATTAAGGCATTTCAATGCTACATACCTGCTCAGGTTCGTTGTATAGAACAAATCCAAGACCCATAACTGCAGTCCTACGAACATCATCACTGACGTCCGATACAGCAAAATGCAGCAGCTGATGGATAGCTTTGTTATTCGCGGTTCCTCTGTAGGCTAGAGCCAATGCATACATACCACCATAACGTAGTATGGGATCTTGATCTCTAGTCATTTGTTCGATCAAGGTGTGAGCTTCCTCTTCCCTGCCATACACCGTCAATGCGATGCCAAGTGCCAAACCCCTGCAGCAAGAGAGAGAGAAAGATGTCAGAAACAAGAGCTGGACGCATCTTCAGAAATGCCACAACAATAATTAAACAGCACTGACCTGATAATCTTTTCATGCTGTGTATCATGTGCATAAGCGAGCATCTCAGCAGCCTTCTCGCTGGCTGTCCCTACCATGAGCAAACCCATGCCAATACCAGCTGCTTCACCAGCCACAGCACTGTCTGTGTAAAGGACATTCTTTATGTCCTCAAACACTTCTTCATCTGCTGTCCCCAGAGAGGCAAGCCCAAGTCCCAAACAAGCACCATGCTGGATGACCTGCATAATATAGTTTTAGGTAAGAAAAATATATACACAATATAAGTAGCCTTACACAAGAAGGGCAAGGAACGGAATGTCACCTCTGCACTGGTGTTGCGAAGGCTTTCACGGAGGAATTGTTTGATTCCTTCACCATGGTTGGCATGAATCAAACCTAAAGCATAGAGGGCACCACCTTCCGAGTATGGACTGCCACCACCAACTGCACCACTTTGAGGTAGGTATGGGGCCATCAAAGCCCGACCTTGCTGAAGGTGGCCTCTATGAATCACACCTAGCCCAGCTGTTGCACTGAATTTAGCCCAATTAGTAGCCCTGCTCAACCACTCCTGCAAGACATAAACAAAATGAGACATCACAGAGGGGAAAAAGTATACCGCATGACAACAAAACAACCAGATATTTTTTCTTACCAGATTCTCTCTTAGAAAAGTATCTACAGTTGTTCCTGCATGCATGATCGCATTGGAGCAAATAGTTGCGCTATGGCAAACACTGTTCCTCATTTCCACGGCCTGCTTTATTGTCTTCAGAATTAGAAGATCAGACCTATATCAACAAACCCATCAAGGTGATGTCAGATATAAAAGTTGCAAGAGACCAGGGTTCAATGTTTAAGACATAATAATAAGTATACCTGTTGTGGCTATACAAAAATTGCAGCGTAAGCTGAATAGACTTCTCCCCTGACAGTATCCCTTTAAGTTTTGCAAGCTTATCAGCATGCGCTGCCTCATTTGGATCAACTGGGTGAGCATTTCCATTTGCCGTAGTAGTGTCATCTCCCATCTGAACATCACCCGCTGGTTCTGTGCTAGTTGTACCCGCGTTAACAGTCTGATCGACTGGTAAAGCTGAACCACTATCAGGGTTGGACTGACCAAGAGTCTGTGAGTCCAGGCGATTCCTCACATTCAGAAGGAAGGCCTGATTTTCATTTTCCACCAGATCAAAAGCAATTTGGTATGCAAGGAGAGCATCATCCTGTATAATGAACACAATATCTCAAGTAAGCAACAGGGACTAAAACATAAGTAATGTGGTGGGCAGAGTAAAGAACAAACATATACCTTGCTTCCAGAAATTAGTGTGTCCAATATATTCGCAACAGTTTCAGGCTCACCCAGAAACATAAGGCACTGGCAGATGCTCAGAAAATCTGGATGCGGCAAAGTCTGGTATATTTTAACAAGACAGCGAAGAACCTGGCAATAAAATGGATTATTTGGTCAACACATAAAGAATGTTAATTTTTGCTTACTCTAGTCTAAACTAATACTTGCTTTTTAATTAATATAAACCAACCATACTGCCAAATAACTTTTAACATGCCCCTACCTCACAGCGATATTCACGGTGACTAACATATTGATGAGAAAGGTTGATGCAATATGAAAGAGCCCCGTGAATATTATCACACCGAACAATTGCTTCCTCCAGTTTATCCAGTCTCCTGCATTCAAC